CGCCCCCTGTGCATGGAGTCCAGTCCTGCCACCCACCATAAGTGTTCCCATCCTGTTCCCCGTATTCCTACCAAGTTTGAAAGCTCTCGATCCACGGGGACAGGAGTTATATATAGTAAGATAAGAAGGATAAGTCTTCCATATCACTACCTTTATCATAATCAAAGTAACCCGGACGGACAGACCGACATACCGACAAACCAAGTTACTGCTTTATATATAAGAAGGATACCTCAAACACCGGTGCTGCAGGAGGAGTAGGTTTACGTGTTGTCAGCGGTGGTGGATCGTTCCATCCTTGAGTTGAGAACTCCTTAAAAAAACATCCTAATTTGAAAGCAGTGAAGATGATAGACGATAATTTCAAAAATCGACAGAACAACTTCAGCTACAACTTTTGGAAAGGATGTTCCAGAGCAAAAACAATGAGAAGCATACTAGATTAAGCAAAAAACGAATCAAACCTCACCTTAGCATCCCCACTGCTTCCTCCAGTTGGCGAGACTGTCGAGCTCTTCTGAAAGTTATTGTCCTACATACAATTCAAGTATTAGAAAGTCGATCCAACCAAAACCTACTTACCGATGAATACTCCTGCGTAGGCATGTTCGAAGGAGATGGAGCATAAGTTGGTTGTGAACGGTTTGTCGTATAATTGTAGTTATTGCTAGGCATATTTGTGAATGGTGCAGGTGCTACTGGCGGAGGCGGTATTGGAGTTTGAACTGGATTGAAACCAGGTATTACAGGTGGTTGACCATATACTGAAGCTGTTGTGGACGGTTGGAAGCCAGGGACAGGTGGAGGTCCAGGTACAGGTGGAGTTGGAGTGGGGGCGTAAGCGGTCGGAGGAAGAGGAGGTTGTTGATAGCTGGGAATCGGTGGAGGGCCGGGCACAGGTTGGGTATGGCCGTAGGTGGGATATGGTTGGTTTGAGAATGAAGGAGGCATAGGTGGCATGCCAGGTTGCTGTACGGAATTGAAAGGCTGTCGATACGGTTGAGTTGAGTGAGAGAACGTCGGCGGTGACGATGCTGAAGTGGCGGAGGTTGGAGAAAACATCGAGCTCTGCTGTTGAGGGCGCTGAAAGCCTCGAACATGAAACCCTGTTCTCAGGTACAAGCTAAATCTTGAAAAAACTACCAATTAACAGAAAGAAAAATCAAAAATGATTTTACGCAGAAAAAAAATAAATACATCAAGGTACCAGGGGAAAAAGCTGAATAACAAGTCAGCACAACAACGAGAGCAGTATTCGAAGAAACACTGAATCCATCAAACAGACAATGGAATCTCACCGAAGGCCGTAGAGCTCTATTAATTGCTTGGATATGTTCCGATCGCGGTTTCTCCGGTTCTTTCGTCATAGTCCGTTCCTCTCCACCACATATTGAAAAGAGGTCACGGCGGAGCTCCAACAAACGCTGAAATGAAATTTTCCAAAATATACAAATTACTGATACAAAATACAAAAATTCTCAAAGATATATGGCTAGTACCTCATCCTTGATCTTCAAGCTGTTCAACGTTTTCCATGCAACATCACTGACTCCACCATCGATAAGTTTTTCGCAGTAGCCATAGAGAAGCTGAAAAAAGGAAAAGAATATAATATTAGGACAAAACAGTTTTCTTCTGTACGATCGTACCTTTTCAAACTCCTCATTCACTGCAGCTCCAGTTAGGGACCTCAAGACTATCGCTTGCTTTATCCTTTCTTCTGAAACAAATATGAGATGCTACTGGAAATTAAAGCCACCGAACTACTTTCACGCTTTGAATGGCTCATAGACCGCACGCGCAAAAAATCAATATCCTTACTACAACGTTCAGCAAAATAGCTTTTCTCGACCAGTGGAAAACTTTCAGTGAGGCTTGAAAAGTGTATGAATGCATGCAGTAATTCTGAACACGAGCCACTTCTTGATAAAGTTGAGTCTGCTTAAGCAGTATATCTTTACGGAAGAACTGTTTGGAGCGTTACTGATGAGTTGATCGTGACAAAAAAGATTGTAAGAGTAGATATTTACTCGGTTTGCTCGCCCAGAACCAGTTCCCGACAACACTATTTTCTGCCCCCCAAATGAGACCCTAGATATTTTAGGTAGTAGGACTGCACTTCACTATGAAGACCTTTTTACATAGTACACCCGAGATCGTTCAAGTAAACTAATCTCATCTGAATGCAGCTCCACAATAAACAAACAAGTATTTGAGAACCCTCTCCCTTCCAAAGAAGAGGAGTTGGAGAATATCCAGGTGAACTTAACACAATCCGTATCCATTTGACGTAGAAGAAGCAATTCAAAGCGTGAAAACAGCATGTGGATCTGCCATTGTCACAAAAAGCACCTGACCTAGAGAATAACACCGGTTTGCAGCTAGAAGGAGATCCACATCTTGAGCTAGAACTGCCGCGAGTGCTGCATGAACAGAATCCGGACCTGCAATATCAAAGATCACCTAAGATATAAAGATCGCCATTCGCGGATGGATCGATAACCAACAGTCTACCCCAATGTGGTTCCATGTTTTAGAGAGATGTTTCAGTCCTAGCGCCCATCTCCTCCTATTGAATTTTTCCAAAAAAAAAAGGTTCGAATAAACATCATTGCGCTCCACGCACTGCGACCCGCACCGCAACCGCGCGCCTCTAAAGTGCACACATTCCTCAACGTTGGAACAAGAGATTGTACCTTCAGCCCATTTTTTGGCGATCTTCCGCATGATATTGACTAGTTGAGCTCGGTCAGTTCTCGTTAATATAAGAGCTAGCAGACGTGACCAGTGTTCTCGTGGGAACGCGTCAATAAGCTGCTCAAAGCTCTCCGTGGCTATGAGTGATAGAAGTCGTTGTGGAGCTGACAATTTTTCTGAAATTTCGAATGTCATTTAGAGGTGGTCCAGTATATCCCCGAAGACCTTTCTTCACCTGCAATAAACCTCTCAGCAACACGATGTGTTAGACTTGCATTGTCGCGTGCAAGCAAAAATGCCATGGCATAATCTTTGTGATTAAGTAATTGGTCTAGCACTTCTCCATCCCCGTCATCGATCAACATGTCCAGCATTGACCAGGAATTCGCATCTGAATAGCATATGCTCAATGACATGCGTTTGCCAATTATGCACCATGCCTATGGTGGTGAGACTCGCCCCAAAAGGGCGTGGTTTGCGCAAGTGCCATTGAACATCTGTCATAAACTTACTCGATTTCAATGGTAACAAATGGTGCTCCTGCAAGCGCGGAAAAGAAGTCTTAGAGCTAACACTTTTTTAACGGACAATACTGAGTCTTCGAAAAACCGTGGAAATCTTATTATGTAAAAAATCCCATCGAAAGAGAAAATGAGATTTTGCTTTCATGAGCGCTGAATTCTAATCGATGATGGAGCCGATTGTCGGTGTCTACAACTCTGACTTTGATTTCTCATGCTATATTCGTTTTTTCATGAATTTCGCTCTCAAATTAACCTAACATCTCGAATTACTGTATTTCCAATGTCCCTTCCTGTCGGATAATCAGTTTTCAGTACTCATCTGAGGAGCAAGTTCCATTCAACTAATCCTGATTGAGTGGAAATGTCATGAAAAAAGAAACCTGCTCGAATTTGTAGTTACAATTAATCCCTAGAAAGGTCGCGAACTATAGGTGCTAAAAGCCAGACATTGACTTGTGGAAGTTAATATTTTAATTGACAATTAACTTCGAGTCTGGACTAAGATCTCAAACTTCATACATACAGGTGACACAGAGTGAGAGTTCAAGTTTGCTCAACTTCAATAGTTGCAGATCCTGATTTCAGACAAAAATAGATAATGAAAATCGACGGCGAAGTGAGAGCGAGTTGAGGTGATTTTTCGCATTCATTTTGAATCGATGAAAAAAAAAGGATAATGTTCTGGTGCGTTAATCAAACCCATCTGACCAGGGAAGGATCCCAAGTCGAAGTGGCCATTTGGAATGAGAAGGCTTTCCAATTTTGCCGAGCGTTTCTGTGAACGGAGTTATGAAGGTGTTTTCCGGGAGCTTAACAGGAGAAAACTTAAATTAGATGGATGTCCGCCATTTCTCAACGGCGGCTTGGTGTAACGGTAAGCGTGACGCTTCATGTGCGAGAGACTAGGGTTCCGGTTTTGTGGAGGACGGAGCTTTTGCATTCTATAGAAATTCTTCCTTCAGGACTAGAGAATACTTTCATGGTGATTTCATCACGTTTTATGACCATCTAATGCTTTTGCTGATATTTATCCAAATAATGAAATACTTCAGCTTTACTCGCATGCGCATGCACTCTACATTCACAGTAGGATAACTTTTGCCACTTAATGAACAATACTCTAGCACGGAATCTTTGAATAAAGAAGCTTCTCACAATGGGAGCAATGGATGAAAAAAGTACTCGTCACAGTCCATTGCTTTACACTTACTAGGCCCGAATCAGAAGGAAAACAGAATTGTGTAAGCGTTCCGAAATCACCCGGGTGAGTGCTTGAGTAGCCGGCGGCATACCATGAATAAAAGAGAAATTTCCTAAATTTAACAGTACAGAACTGAAAGTAGACNAGCGATAGTAAGCAAAGAATGGGGTCTCGTGTGTGCACGCAAAAGTTGAGATTATGAGCTTTTAAATATGAGGTGGTGCGTTTAAGCACATTTTCAAAAGCAAATAATGAGCTTCTATCGGCTGTATTAGCCTTGTGGTAACCTCGAGCAGGGTGTCATTCCCTCCACCTGCTTTTGTGGAGGTAAGACGCACTGAATAGCTTCCTGGTCTTTGAATGATGTCCACGAGTCCATTATCAACAGCGCCGGTGTTGGTGAGTCCGGAGCTGCTAGGTGCTAGATGCTGGCTGGCAACCAGTCTGACATCAACTCCCACTCTGCCAACATCATTGCTCATCATATGCGTTTCACTCGTCCGGGCTCCAAATTTCGCGCACGGAGTAATCTCCCACTTGGTAACAGGTAGGTAGATAGGCGAAGGTATCAGCAAAGCATTAAAAGGTCTTAAAACGTAAAATAAAATCACTATGACAATATTTTCTGGTCTTCAAGGGAAAAATTCTTTACAATGCAAAAACCCCATCCCCCACAAAACACGAACTCTAGTCCCTTCGCACATGAAGCGTCACGCTTACCACTACACCAAACTGCCGTTGAGAGATAAGGTACATCCATGTAATTTGAGTTCTCTCATGTTAAGCTCTCTGAGACCACCCTCATAACTCCGTTCACGGAAACGCTCGGCAGGTTTGGAAAGCAGATTTGAACTCAGCATCCAAAAACGCGTCCAGCAGTGTAGGTCTGATTTCGAATGGCCACTTCGACTTGGGATCCTTCCCTGGTGAGGGATGCTTCAACACATTCGACTTCATTCAGAATCGCAGTAACGTATTAAACGCGTATGTGGCCTATACACCACTACATCACCTCCGCCCTTCGAATCGATATGCATTCAAATTGAACGATACTGCTGCGTCTACACGTGCTAAGCTGGGCAATGACTCAGGGTCATACTCGTCTACTACAGCTCCTTGAAGAAAAGGGAGCATCATGTCCAAGTTTATTTATATGGAGTGGTTTGCCGGTAATTCAAGTAGCCATAGGTTGTACGACAAGTATCTGCCAAAAATTTTACCACAGTCCAGACTTTTCTGAAAGTATCCATGGAATTACTATATAAGACCACTGCCCACTTGCAAGCGCAGAGAATTGCCCGCTCACGCTTTCTTCCTTATTTGACCCTATTAAGCAGATCTCCCTAGTCACATTCGACACGCACTCCTTTATGAGCGCGTACCTGCCCACTCATTTATTGAGGTTTGCGCCAAGTATTTGGCTTCGGAGCCTCTCCTAGCAGCTCTGTGCACTCTTCTCTTTGAAGGCTTAAAGCCCGGAAAAAGGATGAAGTTAAGCTTCGACCTGGTAGACCCTCTGCGGTATCATGAAATACCCAGACATGTTATGAGTGAGTTGTGAGTGAGTGACACGAGTGAGTTACGTCCTTTTGTGGTATTCCAGAACATTTTCGGACTGTTCCGAAATTTTCGGTGGGTACTTCCCAACAGCCTGATATTTTTTTGAGTATACCTTCGCTACTTTATCAACTGAAATCAAATCCAAAAAGTATGAGCAGTCAAGTGGCATGTATACGGTAAACTCGCATTTTGTCAAATCTGTATCAAATTTTCGGACTGAAACTATTGTTAAATCATGAATGTAGATCTCCAACCTAATTGATTCCAATCCAAATCCGGCTGTCGTGCGAATACCTCTCCACTCAATGAGTCACCATCGGATTCCGAATGTCCTTCATCGCCATTTTGCTAAATAGATGACGTGTCATTGAAAAAAGGACCACTACGGAACTAATCGCTCCCCTTCTGTACTTAGCGGAAAAAAGTCGATGACTATTACGGTATTTGCCCCGACATACATTCGTTCTAACCAACGTAGCCGATTTCTATTTGAAATCACCTTTGAATCCTTAATTGAGCTTATATACATTTTCCAATCATGTCAAACCAAATAAAAATGACTCCCTCGATACCTTTCTCAACTAATTTTTTTACTTTTTTCCCAGACAATGCACTATCTCCATTTCGATCTATCCTCAAACTTATCGTTCCTTTTCATAATTCAAAACATGGCAGTACTTTCGATCCGCAGTATTCCCAAATGATCTAACCAAAGTCTCAGCTTGTCCCGATATTCCCACAGGCATTTGCGATCATGAAAGGAAAAAAATAATTTAGTAGGCAGCATCGGCAGCATTAAGCAGTGCTAATCCAGTGGCAACAATGCCCCACCCAAGATCTCCCGAGCTCTCCCTAGATCTCTTACCCGTACTCTCACAACGTACTGGATACGACCTCACCCCTATATAGCACACGTTACTACCAACCCAGCCACTGAGGCACAACTGCATGAGTAATAAGCCTGAGCCTCAGTCTGACAATGATCCCTCTCCAATTTTCTACCCAGTTCACCTCCTTTCCTCTCTGCAATTTACAGACTAGGCTTTCTNATAAGCCTGAGCCTCAGTCTGACAATGATCCCTCTCCAATTTTCTACCTAGTTCACCTCCTTTCCTCTCTGCAATTTACAGACTAGGCTTTCTAGGCATCACGTTCCATGTAGGAGATACCTGCAGTCCCGGCACAACCGCGCTCTGAAGAAGTTGTTCAGTCCAGCATGAAAATGGGACGATGAAGTATAACATTAAAGCGATTACCCAATAAAGTTGTTCAAGCACATCTACAGTCGTAAAGTGGCTCATGAAGTCACGCACTCGCGCACCAAGAACCCATAAAGGAGGTACCGGAGAGTTTTTCCCACCCGCCAACGTAGCTTTTGCCTTAGGAATATGCTCGGCCAACTTTTCTAAAATGCATTCAACACCCTCTTTTTGCTGTTTCGGGAAAGGGTTCTCAATTTCTTCTTCTTATCCCAAAATGGACTTTGCTTCATTGATACTTAATTGTATAATTCGCGATAAACTGGCGATATACAAAAAGCCTCACTCTTGGAGACGAATAATTCACGGATGACATGATATTCGTAAGTTGCGTTACTTCGTTCGATGTTACTGATGTTCTTGATTCGCGCGATTCCTTTGTTAACTGCTCAGTCTCTCCTGAAATATTTCATATCATTAGCCATTTCTTATGTTCCCAGAAGTCTCGGTGTCAACATCAGCCCCTAGTATTAGGTTGATGTACAATTATTGCGGATTTTTTCGCGGCTTTTTTTCTCACGATAGAATTTGCATATTGAGTTCGAGTTTTTTCTAGAAATGATCTACTTGATTTCCTCTACAAGAATGTACTCAAAAAACCATCCGCATATTCGCGAAAAAGAAAAAATAATAATAATAAATAAAATAATAATAATAATAATAATAATAATAATAATAATAATAATAATCGAGAAAAATAGGAAGGTGGCGCAGTCATTCCGCGATCTCAATAACTTTTCGGCGATCGAACAATCAGCCAGAGCCAAACAAGAAATGGGATCTGCCCCTGAATCTGCCATAATCACCAGCAGAAACCTTTATGGATTATCTCGTCAACCGTTCATCGAAAAAATGGCTAGAGAATAGAAGTTACGTCGATTTGGATGACTTGATGGCCGATGTCAAGGCGTGGATCGCCCGTAAGGATCAAAACTTCTTCGCTTTTGGTATCCGACTAACTAATCAATGGGAAGCAGCGCTTGACGTAGATGGTAAATAAGTTCCGGAGTAATTATTTGAATATGTCTCTGCTTAGTATTTCTGTAATTTCTTTAAGTAAAATTTGCTGGAAAAAACCGCAATAATTATGCATCAACCTAATATATAAAGGCAGGTAAAATGCAGGAAAATGGAAAATATCAAAATGTTTGACCGTATTTGACCGTGCTTGACCACCAGGAAATCATGGATACTTTCACTAGATCACCTAATTAACGATCGCTGAAAAGTTACTGGGATCGCGGAATGACTGCGCCACCTTCCTATCTTTCTCGAAGTAGTAAAGCCTAATTTTGCGAATATGAGGATGGTTTTTTGAGTATATTCTTGTAGAGGAAATCAAGTAGATTATTTCTAGAAAAAAACTCGAACTCAATATTCAAGTTCTATCGAGAGAAAAAAAGCCGCGAAAAAATCCGCAATAATTATGCATCAACCTAATATTTGCTATTAGAGGGTTAAAGGGACAAGCAACGGAAGAGCTTGGGTTCCTGAGCGTCCCCGTAATCCATAAATAATCCCGGCAGCCCCTCACCCGTACCCCTAACCTCAGTATGTTCTTTGAATTTCGAAAAAAAACTATTGAATATAAGTTGCTACCCTTTGCTGCCGTGCTGATGGGAAGCTTTGTCCCAAAAGGCATTTGACAAAGAATACGAAAACCCTATTTTAGGTGTGATTAAGGCTTACTCAACATGTCTTCAAAAGAATCTCCTACCCTTCCTACCCCTAAAAAGCTGTTGCAGGCCTCAATGTAAAGAGGAGTGAAAACCCCTAGAACATGCTTGCACGACGCAGGTCAGTTAATAATACATGGCGGCATACTAGTAATACATAATAACTTATGATAACTTACCGAATCCGAGAATCCGCACAAATTCTCGCCGGCCTTGCTTGTTGCTCAGTGCAGCAAGGAACGTCCACAAAACTTGTAGATTACGGTCGTCGGTTCCATGAGCCCTGAAAGTGGATGATACCATTCAGAATGAAACAGAGCCTCTTCTCATCGGACGTAATATCATATATGTACAATGTAGCGCTTTAGGCCTACGCAAAGGTCTGTCCAGTAAGGTCTGTTCGCAAAAAATCAAACTACAACTTTACTAAACAAAAAAGGCGTCAATACGATAATTTATTGTAGTTGTCAGACTTCCCCATTACAGGCCTACCAACGCAATGGAAGCTACGGGCCAAGAATCAGGATTACTCTATCACCTCTCGCGTCTGAGCTGAACTTCTTCGTATGGAAACAAGTTTCATTACGGTAGATGGGAACCTTTACACTTTGAAAGCACTTCTCCAGAGATATTTTAATATACGGGGAATGAACATGTGACCGCCCAGCCACAGTACACACATATCCACCAAAATTGAAATATCAAACACCACATGTTGCGCTTAGTGCTTCCGAATGAATAGACAGCATAGGAAGGGCTTTTTCGGGACGAACTTCATTTTCACGGTCGACAACAACTGAATGAAAAATGGCGCTGGAGCGATGCATGTTACGTTTGGTGGGATGCCAGTTGTACCCATCAGATATGAAATGTCCAAAAAACCTCAGGACATCTAGCCACTTGGCTTTATCTCATGAATCATGCTCTCTCGACCTGATGAGTTCTTATTTGAGCCGATAATATAAAGAATCCAAAATTACTGCTTACCGATCCTCACAGTACGACCCATATCCGTTGCTTTCTTGAGCATTTTGTAATTCCATAGCGGACTGATACAGTGCTTCATCGACTGGCAACTGCAACTAGTAGACTAACGACATAGGGCAAACTTATCCAAACAACAAAAAGCATATTTGAATTTCACTATCATCACGGCCACACAATTCCAACTGCACCCACTATAAAGGCGTCTTTTGAACCTCGCACTTATTCCACATAAAAAACGATGACCTGGGAAGGAACAGGCCCCAGCCCTTTCTCCACCCTTTCGGGTGCGACACCACTTTCTCACCATTTCGAGTGTACCCAGTGCATCTTAATGATAGCGTTTTATTTCCCACTAATGCTATCCTCCTCAAAACCTTATTCAAACCTCATCAGGGATTATCATCAGGGACCTTGTTGTATAACCCAGTCTACTATGACACTGATTACCCTGAACCTAACCTGCTTTTTGAAGGTTACTGTGATTATACCGTAACACTTTACAGCATCTATGACATTACAACAGGAGTTTTTACTTATATCTTTTCGCTCTTTGATGCTATCCTTCTTAGCTCGCGTTCCTAACTCCGTAGGGAGAGGAGAAAAGCAACGAATATAAAACAACTCAACTTGCAACAAGTATGATGAAGGGGCTCATAGAAAATAGGTTTTTTAAGCACCGGCCCTTTTTCGTAGAGTTACATCTCTCTTGGACCACTTACCTTCTTCACTTCAACACTGTAACGCCACATCTGCTTGGCATCATCCCATTCACGATAGTGTGTTGCCATACGGCCTCCCTTAGCGAACGACGTCCCTACTGGAGCTGCACTCACCCATGCGGGTACAACCGTTACGTCCATGTGGGCAACACTTGTATTCTAAAAAAAAGAACATACTTTTTTCTATTACATATACATATTTTGTTACATGTGTATGGTATACAATCGCGTGACATCAATGGAAAGTACTTTTCGATATTCACAATTTTTGCTCCGATTTCATCTCACTTCTCAGAGATCGTAAATTGCATGAAATATACGGTATAAAAACGAAAACTCTCAAACAGGATACTCTACTTTCACCGGTAGATAACTCATTCTCACCTCTGCTCCTCCTTCAATCGATCGGAATTCTGTTGGATGCTGGAAGTACTGAATCGCCAACAAATCTGGTCGTGATTCCGACCATGTAATCGCTCGTACTTTGTCATTTTGCAGCACCTGACGAATCATTTATTATTGCTCATCCTTCAATTCTACCAAATTTATTACTATCCACTCTAGAAAAACGACGAGTAAAACGTGCTTTTTACTATGACTACTTCTTTATTTTTTATTTTATTTTTTCAAGAATCTATTCTGGGTTATAGAGCAGTGGGGATTCCCTGAAGACTCATCTCGCCAAATTGAACACAGTTTTTCTTGGAAAAATAAAGCTTCTTTTCGGAAATAATTTCGCTACCTTATTATTTAAAATGATCCATTTGAAAGTTTCTTCGAAAATCGTGACCGATTGCCATAAATGGTAATCGGAACCGTTATACGGCGCTATAACTTGTGTTCCTGAAGCCAAATCATGCGTACCAGAGATTTCAAAAGAGAAATTTACTTATGCATAGGCAGTATACCTTATCTGCATCCCATTAATTGCTTCTCCTTATATTGCGGTGCACGCAGAACTCATGGCCTGGAGATCTGTACCACCACTACCTACGAGGAAAAATCCGATACCAAATAAGGGTATTGAACGGTACCACCAAATATCATTTCCGTTTTGATTTGATGTTATGTCAACTGCTGTTATTTCGCCGCAGTACGCGATCCGAAATTCTCACAAGCCGAGTCATGGACAAAACTTCGATCTCGGACGGGACTCAAACCCCTACTTGCGCTTTTCGGACAAAATACGTTACGTTACCAAGATCCGCACCATTTCAGTGCTCTCACCAACATCCAATGTCTCGCTGAAAAAATTTTGAAAACATCCATTCGTTGTATATCATTTTAACGAGCGCCACTCAATATAACCCTAATTTAACACCTATGAAACCTTTAACAGTGAATAGAGGTAAATAAGGTATTATAATATCACCCAGAGGGACAAAAATGGTAAAATTATCAGAGCAATATAGCTCGTCTTCACTCATGTGCGAGCACCAGCAACAAACCATTCGCTTCTGTCTTTCGCGATCGCCATCCACGGTAGATTCAGGATTCGACGAAGATGGCGATGTGAGGAGTCATTCAGCTGCTGTCGCAGCTGTTACACGTGATCGACAAGCACATTCCCCCATCTCGCAGCAGGCCTACCCTTAGATCGTGTAGATCCTATGG